CGTTGTTGGTTGTCTTACACGTAAGAAAAGGACAAAAAGAAAAGAAAAGAATTGAATTAAAAAAACAGTTATTGGTTGTTGTATTCGCATGTGGAATTTGCACCGTCATTGCATCTCGTCCGTTCCTTCTTCTTCCTCTTCGGGCCTCGTCGCACTACTCGTCATCCGCCAACATTTTGATTGCATGTGGACAGAATTTTGTCCAGATGCTTTCGAAATCTTGGCGGATTTCGAGTAGTGCAACTAGGGCCTTCTTCTTCTTCTTCTGCTTCTTCTTCTTCTTCTTATTATTATAGTTTTTTTGGCGCCGCGCGGAGGCATTCAGTTGCCCGCCAGAGGGGCACGTCTCGGGGGGGCCAAGTCGCACAAGCCGTGTTGATTTTAATCGATTCCCGAATGTGAACGGGTTTGTGGAGATGTGCGGTTCAGTCTGCACATCTCCACAAACACGTTCACGTTCGGGCGTTGAGGAAAATGAGCGCGCCAAAGAAAAAAAGAAAAAGAAGAAGAAGAACCCGGCTACGTAGTAGTGGGACTTTGGCCCACGTCGGTCCCGCGCCGTCGCGATAGAGGAGGGGCCAGTGGGGTGAGGGGAGCCGAGAAGAAAGCGCAAGAATCAAATCAAAGAAGAGAACGGAAAGGAAGAAAAAAAAAAAAAAAAAGAAAGGAAGAAAAGGAAGCCGAAGAAGCAGAGGCCATGACAGGGTAAGAAAGCAAAAAAAAAAGAAAAAAAAGAAAAAAAGAGAAAAGAAAGAGGCCACGGCAGGGTGCCACGCAGCATGCGCCCCACACGCCATGCTACAGTGGGTCGCGATAGGTACAGCAGCCTTCCCAGGTCAGGCGAGGCCAGGCCAAAGCAGGCCAGGCCAAAGCAGGCCAGGCCGGTCGGGAGCGATCCAGCGCAACTGTGCTCAGGTCTCGTTCCCGAGGGCCCGCCGGCGGTGCCTCCGCTGACGCCCCTGCGCAGCTGTCGCGCGCGACCGGCCGGCGGACCTTGTGCGCAGGTGCGGACAGGTAAGCCAAGCGCCGAATTCTGACCGCTTACCTCCGACTACTGCCGTACCATAACGGGACGAGAGCGGGCAAGAGAGCGAGAGAGCGCGAGGGTGGTGGGGGCGTGGACACGCTTGGACTTCTTTGTAACTTGTCTCTGTACCCGATCGCTGATTTTATTCATCCAGTTCCTGGCCGTAATTGCGGTCACATTCGTTTAGCAATGTGCGAGTGTGACACGTCCCGCGCAGCGAGAGACGGGTGGGCGGGGGCCTGGCGCGGCTGCCCTGGACCGAAGTAGACGACTTGCAGCCTCGTGTCATGTGGGCACGCGCCCCGCAACGAATCGGCGCCATCATTACCGACTCCCCATTGCGCCTGCCCGCTTCACCTCCCCCCC